GACCTCGAAATCACCACTATCGTCCGGAAGTGCCAAAACAGTTGCATGAGTAAGACAATACTTCAACCGCTGGAAACTCTGCTCACAATTATCATCCCACTCAAATTTAACGTCTTTCCTCGTTAACCTCGTCAGTGGTAAAGCAATCACAGAAAAATCCTTCACAAACCGTCGATAATACCCTGCTAAACCAAGGAAACTCCTCACCTCAGTGACGGTTCGCGGTTACTCCCACTTCTCCACAGCTGCCACCTTTTGAGGATCCACCAAGATACCTTGAGCAGAAATAACGTGCCCCAAAAATGCTACTTGATCTAACCAGAATTGACACTTGCTAAACTTAGCATACAGTTGGTGTTCCCTCAACCTTTTCAGCACCAAAGTAAGATGTCAAACATGCTCCGATTTAGACTTAGAGTACACCAGAATATCGTCAATGAAGACAATAACAAACCTATCCAAATACCGTTGGAATACTCGGTTCATCAAATCCATAAAAGCAGCTGGTGCATTCGTCAATCCAAATGGCATAACCAGAAACTCGTAATGACCATAACGAGTCCTGAAAGCCGTCTTAGGGATATCCTCCCTATTAATCTTCAACTGATAATATCCAGACCTCAAGTCAATCTTGGAAAATACGCAAGCACCTCGAAGCTGATCAAACAAATCATCAATACGTGGCAATGGATAACGATTTTTAATCGTTACTCGATTCAATTGCCGGTAATCAATACAAAGCCTTAGAGTTTCGTCTTTCTTTCTCACATACAACACTGGAGCTCCCCAAGGTGAAGTACTAGGTTGAATAAAACCTTTATCCACTAATTCCTGCAATTGAACTTTTAATTCCCTCAACTCAGTATGAGCCATACGATAAGGAGTCAAAGATATAGGATTAGTACCTGGAAGCAAATTAATGGTGAACTCCACGTCTCGGTCTGGCGGCAAACGAGGTAAATCCTCAGGGAAAACATCAGGAAAATGCCTGAGTACCCTTACATCCTTCACACAACTAGGAGTAGCATCGTCCAACACCACATGAGCTAAGTATCCCTGGCAACCTTTCGATAACAACCTTTTCGCTCGCATAGCAGAAAAACGCCATGTCTCACCCCACTCTGCTCGCCCACAAAAGTAACCACAGGTAATCTAGGACGATGGAAGGTAACTATTTTCCTGTAACAATCAATATTGGCATGATTGAATGCAACCAATCCATGCCCAAAATCACATCAAAGTCAACAATATCCAACGGGATAAGATCAGCTGGCATAATAACATCCTTTAACATCACTGGACATCTTGGATACACACAATCAACAATACATCTCTCCCATCTAGGCGTAGCAAACTCTAAATCATACCCTAGAGGTGTAGGGTGAAGTTGCGTCACTTGAGCAAAGGTATGAGAAATCACAGAATGTGTAACACCACAGTCAATTAATACTCAAGCAAAATAACCAAGGATATTTAACGTACCCATGATCAAGTTTGGATTATTTTGAGCATCCTGCAGAGAGATATTGTGAATACGCCCTTGGGTCTGCTGCCGTCCACCATGACTTCTACTCATCTGGCCACTACGACTCTGTGCACCACGCCCTTGACTAGGCTGACTAGACTGCCTCGAAGATCCCGTACTACTTGCAGCAATCTCCCCCTGCTGAGGCTGTCATCCTTGGTACCACTGAGACCCACTTGCTGGAACTGGAGGATACAACATATAACCACCAGAATACTGGGGATATCTACTCTGAGAATATGGATAACGGTGGCGATAGCTTCCCCTAGTTGAGCTACATCGGGGAAACTAGGCTCAGCAGAGCGACGTGGTTCCCTACAAGGCGACATAGTTCTGACAGAAGACACCAAAACAATTAGAATACTCACAAAAGTACAGGACTGCCAAACCTAAGCTCTGATACCAAGCTGACACACCTCAACCGAGATCAGGGCATGCTAGCCGTCACGTGGAAGTGATGTAACCATGTGCATAGTGCGGAAGCTAAGAAATAATAATAAAAGTACGAATAAATAAAAACCAAGCTATACACTATGTAGAACATACAAGTGCAAGCGTAAGTGTGAAAAACAATATTCAGAGCACGGAAGACCTAGTGCAGTCCGAGGGACAAACACTAAATAAACACACCCAAAGGTGGTCCTACTCTGGTGATAATCTGTCAGATATGCCGTGAATCCCTCGAGAACCACCAACAGAGCTATCCAAACTAGAACCTGGAGGGGCGCAAAACAGAAAGCGTGAGTGGGCAAAAACAAAGCTTGTCAAAATCATTTCAATAACAAAAGTTCTAACCCCTCACCGTAAAACAGAAAGCGTGACTGTGCACCTAACTTGGATCCAAGATGAGCGTGTGGTGCGGGAGGTGAACATCACGTGAAGGACTGTGCCCTACTCTGGGCGGGAGCACTAACACCAGGGGTGCAAGTTATGAGCTCTATATGCATCTCAATTCACTACTAAACATAAACATAAACCATAACTTACCTGGCACTTACCTGTGCGTTCACAGCACCAAACACACACATATATATATATATGCAACTATTAATGCATAATTGAATAGGCAAACGCAAAGCATGGCATTTAAAACATATAAACGTTTCATTTCATTTTCTGGGAAAATCACAAGTATATAGGTATATACGGAAAACCAAAAGCCCACTCACTGGTATGTAGAAGGGTCATAACCCCCTTGCCTCGAGTGACTGCGCTCGTCCTCGGGATGGGTCTCACCTATATGTGAAACAACTATAAAAATGTTAATTTTAAATCACATAACCAACATTACGAAATAACTTCTCATATAATGCTCAAATGGGGTGTATGAATACACCAACGTGATCTACTCAACCTCACGAATATCCCCATATTTTAAAAATAATTTTCTGACACCACACGCGCCCCCACGCACAGGCCAAGGCATGGCCACACACGCCGCCCACGCGCAGGCACGTGCCTGGCACACTGACGGCGTCAGTTAACGCCGTCAGGAATATTCCATTAACTTTGACACATTCCATTAAAGCTAGCCTAACGCCGTTAGGAATATTCTGTCCAAACTGACGGAATATTCTGTCGTCTTCTCCGGCCAACCTCCGGCGAAGGCGCCTTCGCCGGAAAATCGGGAAAATTTCTAAACTTAATATCTCACTCGTTTTTCACCCAAATTTCACGAAATTGGTACCAAAATGAAGCTTACAACTAGAGGAAAAAATCCTTACCACTTTCAAGCACTAAAACCAACGGAATCTTGCTGGAAAAACTCCACCAACTCCAGCCAAACCTACAACTCACGATCCCGACGTCCAAAACCTTCAAACGAACCACCCCAAGCTTCCTACAAGCCTGAAATTCCCAAAATAACAAGATTTTACGTGTGCATGAACAATACTCCGAAATGAACCTCTCGGGTTCGACGTGAAAACAAAGGTTCCCTTACCTGAAATGGGTATGGTTGAACTCCTAAGAACCTCACGAGTACAAATGTAAAGTTTTCTTCCTTGATCTACCATGTTTTCAAGCAATTGGGTTCTTGTCCGTACAAGGAAGAAAGGAAATGGAGAGAGAGACAGATACGGGACAGGGCAGAGAATAGGAATGAGTGTGGGTGTGTGTGTGTGGTCCAAAAGTAGCCAACCAACTTCCAAAAACGACCACACAACGAAACAAAAATACTACGGGCAAAACCGTCATTTCACCCCTACGGTAAGAATAATCCGGGACGGGCTGTCACAATGCATATACTAAATTGTTGATTGACGAGTATAATAAATTTAATAATGCCAATTATTTCTATTGTGTTTTTTTTTTCTAAAATCAACATCACATTAACGAATCAAATATTAAAATAATCTATTGAATAATAAATTATTGAAAAGCAAAATATAAATTCAAAGTTTTCATTATGTTAAGTACAATTTTCAAGACCATGTGATAGTTGATTTAAACATTCGATAGAAATGGAGAGATTGAAAAGTTGAAAGAAAAAAAGATTGCAAAGGGACTTGAGTTTTATAACTTTATATGCATTTGGATAGATGGATTGAGAGTAAATTAAAAAAACAAGAAAAAACTAGTGACTAAAAAGACAACTCCATATTTCGAACTTAACACTCCAAATAAAAAAGAAACCAAACATTTCCATTGCACTACAAATAAATTTTGATATTTCATACTTTATCTTTATTTATAAGTTATTTACAGGATTTATCAAAATTTTAAAGGTCTTTCCGAAGTGGGAGCCGTAAGCGGATGCGTACATGGGCAACTCTCAGGGCCGGCCCTGGGCTTTGTTTGCATTTTGTTAACCAAAAGGATTCTTTAGGAAGATATTTTGCTTACATGATTTGCACCCACTATTTGTCATTATCCTGAATTACTTTCTAAGCAAGCTTTGCCAAAAAGGCCATATTGAGGTGACTGGATTTCCTAATCCCCAATCCCTAATCTCCCATGAGATTTAGGAACACATACATCATTTTAGCCAACCGGGGAGAAATTTGACTTCTTATTCCAAAGGAATTTCCTACGCTCTCTATCAATAGCATTGCTTATCTTGCGGGGCCAAAAAGTAAGCGATAGTTTGATTAGACGTCCCAGCCAGCAGGCTAGATTTAATGAGGATATATCTCCCAACTTTAAAAAGAGAGTTCTTTCGAGCCAGCTAATTTATTTTGAATTTTGAGCAAAAGTTCTTTAGCGTTAATGGGATCTTTCCAGAAAATAATGTTAGGAACGTTTAAATATTTTCCTACACTTGCTTTATGTTGAATATGCATAATGTTGACAATATCAACGCGTTTTTTCCTTGTTCGTTCCAAACTCATTCTTCTATTTTTTTTATCATTTTTAGAAAAAAATGACAGAAGCACATACGCATGCTTGACCGAACCCAGATTACAACTTTTCAGTATAATATTATATATCTATATATATATATATATCCCTTCTATACCTAATTCTCAATCCAAATCAAATTCCCAAATTACCCGTTGTATGTCTGGTAATTCAATTCTCAAAGGAAAAGGAAAAACCATTGTTATGGCAGTGAAAGACACCTTCTACCTATCCCACGGATCGCCGACGCTGAGCATCGACGAGTCGCTTCCGGCCAGAAAATTCCTCCAGTCGTGGAAAGAAACGGTGTATTCTCAGAAACCCACCTCCATCCTCATCATCTCCGGCCACTGGGACACCGCTGTCCCCTCCGTCAGCTCCATTTCCGGCCGCTACAGCACCATCTACGACTTCTACGGCTTCCCCAGATCCATGTACCAGATCAAGTACCCCGCCCCCGGCTCCCCCCACCTAGCCAACCGCGTCAAGCAGCTGCTGACCTCGTCGGGCTTTGGACGCGTCGACGTGGACACCAAGCGGGGGCTGGACCACGGCTCCTGGGTCCCGCTCATGTTGATGTACCCGGAGGCAGACATCCCAGTTTGCCAGCTGTCGGTCCAGGCGGGGAGGGACGCCACTTATCACTACAACTTGGGGAAGGCGCTGGCCCCACTGAGGGACGAGGGTGTTCTTATAGTGGCGTCAGGCAGCGCCACCCACAACTTGGGGGCGATGAGGAAGACCAAGAACAATGAGGTCTTCCCTTGGGCTCGCGAGTTTGACACGTGGCTCAAGAGGGCTATTCTGGAAGGAAGGTACGAGGATGTGAACCAGTGGGAGAAGAAGGCGCCGCATGCGAAAACGGCGCACCCTTGGCCGGATCACCTTTACCCGCTGCATATCGTGATGGGGGCTGCTGGTGCGGACGCAAAGGCTAAGCAAATCCATGACAGCTGGGACCTCGGTGCTGTTTCGTACGCAGCCTACCAGTTTACATCACCTTGAACTTAATCTTGAACTACCAGTTGCCGCTGATTAACTATATATGTCAAATAAATTCCTGTTATATTATGAATTTCATAAAATAATATTATGTTGTGAACGAATTCATTGAATGTGTAGTAGTGAATATTGTATTAAGGATTAATGAGAGATTGTTTTCCTGTTTAATTTCTCCATGGTTCTTGGTAAGATTTTTACCACTGCAGGGATAAAACATTTAAAAATACTTACAAGAGTACAAGATTGTTGTAGTATAGCACCTCAAGCAAGGTCATTTTCTACTGGAATTGAATGAATAATTTGTATTTAAACTAATTCTCAATTAATTACTTGAAACAAGATTTTGGAAAAGGTTGATTTGTGACTTAAAATATTAAAAACGAATTTAAATTAAAAACAATCAACTAGAAACCAATTTAAAGAAAGACTAGGGTTTTGCCGTCATCTTAACAATCCTACCCAATTTTACCCATTACTTATGATTTTCTACATACATGTTTTGAATGTTAGGTTTTCCTAATATATATATTCTACCTGGAATCTCCAATATAGAACGTATATCTAACAGGCAACTTGTCTAGACGTTTGGATCAAATATGAACATGAAAGACTCATTAAGTTTTATGAAAATTCTTTGAAAAACTATGCAACCCTTAAGACGTGATGTTCATCCTAAGTGAAATTACAATTATAAACAACAAGAAGCTAACGTCAATTTCAGGGAATTTTCTGACCAAAATTGCATCAAATTACTTTTCTAATGTCCTAATGGTCGCGAATCACTAAGACACTTACATAGTTTAAAATGGTGATTAATAATTCAAAACATGCATGCATAATATCATAAGTAAATTGAAAAGAAACTACATATTCTTGCTAAGGATCAAGGCTTCGCCCTAGCAAAAAAAACTAGCTATGAACAATCATAAAATAAAATATTATTAAGAACAAGGATAGAAAACACCTAGAAAATAAACTTGAATAACTCTCTAAAGTGTGCGTGCGTTGTCTTCTCCTTCTCCCCTTTAACCTAATGGCTAAATAGCATTATTTATACTACTACAAAATAAAACCCTATGTTGCACCGAACTATCTCAGACTGGACTAGCTTCAGGGACTAAGCTGGATTGGCTTGGACTAGACTAAACAGGACTAACTTAGTGAAGCGTTTGATGCAATATCGATTTAGAAGTAGGATAATAAAAATAATAAAAATAATTATGTTTTTTCTTTTACTATTTCTTTTTCTTGCCTAAAACCTCTCATCCCTCTCCTTTTTTCTTTTTTGTCCAAACTCCATAGATTCCAATCACAGCTTTTCCTTCATTTCAATTAATAAAGCTCTCCGTCCAAATTCCACTACTTGCAACCACATCTTTCTCCTCCATTTGAATCGATAAAGCTCCCAAAACACAAACAATCAGAAACTCACTTTCAATCGAAATCGAAATTGCAATTGCGTTCCTTGTATACCCAACGACACTCTGATTCGAGCAGGACGAGGAATAAGAGGGAGAGGATGTGATCTGGGTTGGGTCGTGCAGATCGGCTTTGTTGGAAATATGCCCTGAAAGTCAATCTTTGGAAGAAACCTTTCAGGACAATGAATTGATGTATATATGACTCTTATACATCGGAAGGCAAAGATACTAATTGGGACTATCTCAATGAACGAAATATGTCCTAAATAGTGAATCCATGGACAATGGATCGATGGAAGAAGTAACCTAATGATGTTAGGTTACAGAGACCTTCTTCTCATAACCATCATGTCCAAAAAGGTTCCTGGTCATAAGGATTGTCGGAGGGATACTGACAATCCATAGACTGGTACATACTATGTCCGCTTCAATTGGAAGGATGGAAAGTCTCATCCCATTCGTGTAGCGACACTAAGACAAGCATGTAGGTGCTCATTAAGGGAATGAGTTCACTGAACACAATCGAACGAGAGTACTTGCATGGAGGTCTACTCACATGTCAAGCAAGTAACTCTAATGGTTGGAATAATGTAAGTAATCCTTTGACCTGAGGCATCTCGTTGTCTTGTGGTTAAGTACTTAATCTTTGATTATGTTAAAGTCATTCCATTCGAGAGTGTCCAAGGCATCGTTGGGGTTAAGCCACTTAGCCATGAAGGCAAGTGAATGCGCAACAAGGAATCTCTAATCTTCGATAAGAGAGGATGAATACTCTAAGATATGATTCGAGAATCTTCGGCCGAAGTATCGAGCGTAATAAAGGAAAGCGTTCCTATACGTCTCAAATGAATCGTATAAGAAGGAATAATCACATTAGGGGTTTGACATTATAAATCCATACCCTAGTAATGTGATTGAGAGTATTGTTTTAGAGAAGGATCGAATTACATTGTAATTCCAACTGAATAGGTTCTCCGAATAACTTCTACATTAGCTTGGGTAGCCATGATATATGATTAGATGTCACTCATGGCTTGTGAGTTCTTCTAGATGATTAAATGTAGTCATTAAAAGGAAGGTGAATTAAAAGTAAGTTTTAAATCACTAAGTGATTGGATAATCAATTGGATTGGTGCCAATCACCTCACTGCCTTGCTAATTAGAACCTAAAAGATTGTTCACCGATACACTCTTGTAGTGAGTAACTAATGGATGAAGGAAATAATTAATTGGATTAATTAAGTGTTTTGATTAATTTAGAAAGTCTAAAGAAATCATAAAAGCGATAAAGATCGTTTTGGGCTTAAAGAAACGTTCGGGTTTAATCGGGCCCATTGGGCCAAAACCCATTGGGCTTTTATTCAAGCATTGGATGACTTGAAATAATTAAAAGCCCAAAGCCCAAATTAAACACAATAGGCCGGCCATATGAGAAGGGAGAGAAAGTAAGTCAATTGTTGATTTGTTTCTTTAAGAAATAAAAGGAACATAATATAATGAAAGTGTGTGTGAGTGTGTTAGGTAATTCATAACATACACAAAAGAAAACAAAATTATTCTCTCTCAAACTTAAAGGGCCGGCCACCAAAGGAAATTCTAGCTAATCATCTTATCACCCTTTGGTTAATTCCTTCATCTTTCTCATTACAAAGTGGGTGAGGATCTTTAGAGGTTTTCATATCTTTGGAAACTTGAAGAGGACCTAGGAGCACTCATTCTCAACAAAGTGGAGGAGGCAAGGAGGGAGGCTAGGCTCAAGGAGTTCAAGGAGCAAAGAGCTTGGAGGTGGTCAATCCTTGGTCTTAGATCTAGATCAAGAGGTACAAAACTACTCCTAAACTTTGTTCTTCAATAAATTGTTTTTGATGCATCTTATATAAACCTATGCATCTTGAAGGGGATTTGCATGACTATAGCTTTGATAAAATGTATGACATGCTTCCGTTGCTTTCGTATATAAATTTTGAATTGTATATGCATGCTAGTCACTAGAAATCCCACATAAATCTCATATTTTCCCTTCAAGTGGTATCAGAGCCAAAGGTTTATGTATGATGTGTCCTTTTAGATTTTATGCATATGGGTTTTAATTTTATGTATGTCATATTATTGCTTCATTCAAAATATGTTTATCTTTTGTTTTTTCAAATTGTTGAAAAATTGTAAATCAAAAGTTGAAAAAGGATATGCAAGAAAAGTGTTTTTGATGCATGAATGAAGTTTGAGTTTAAATTGTTTTTCATTCAAAATATGTTTATCTTTTGTCTTTTTCAAATGTTGAAAAGGTGTATCAATAGTTGAGAAAGATATGTATGCAAAAATGTTTTGGATGCATGAATGAAAAGAGGGTTTAGAAACAAAAATTTTGGGGTTTTGTTCTTCAAAGGGGGTTCGGCTAAATGGGGATTTTTTGTTAGTGTTTGTGTTTTGTTTTGAACCTCACACACACACTTTGAAGCTAGAAAGTAGTGATCTTGTCACTTTTGTTTTTTGGGTTTGAAAAATCACCAAGAACATACAAATCTTGAAAATATGTTCATGGTTTTGTTCTTGGTGTTCATGGTTTGGTTTTTGGTGAAAATGGTTTTACATGCATTGTTTTGTGGTTATGGATGATGTACATACCATCCATAGCCTACACCAAAATTTAAATTAATACCTAGAATTGTCTAGATATATATTTCAATCATTCTTTTTCTTAAAGTCCTTAAAACAAAACTAAGTGGCAAACAAGATTTTTTCTTCTTTAAGTTGAAATAATGCAAGGTGGGTGAGACCTACCCACCTTCCCCTTAATATGGCCGGCCATCCTCAATGGTTTACCCACTTGAGGGTCCTTTTGTAATCATGAAAAGTTTGGTATTACTTTTAGTATTTATGGTTTGACCCCTAACTTTTTCATATTTGCATTTAGACCCCTACTATTTAAAAATTGAAATGTTTGATTTTAATTTTATTTAATGTTTAAACTCATCATTGAATTATGCCCATATGCACTAAATCTAATTGTTTATATGTTGCATTCCATTTGATTATTTAATATGATTGAGTAATTAGTAAATGGGTGACTATGGACTTATGCCTTAAACGATAATTGAGCTATGAGATAAGGCGCTAAAATCAAATTGTTTGAACCTTGGGAATGTGTTTTAATTACTGTTTCAATTGGACCTTGTCACGTTTCGACATTAATCTATCTCTCCCTCTTAGTATATGTAATTTGTAGGAATTTGTACAAATCGGTTTGTAATTCTTATTACTTCTTAATCTCTTTTAGTTAGTTGATTCCCTCTAGTGCTAGACTAGAGTTTCTTTAACTATTGGTAAGGAGACATAACTAAAAGAGGGTTTTGACATGAGATTCAAGATTAAATGGGTCCAACGCCCTAATAAGCAATGAATGATTGTCTTTCATTTCTAATGGCTCAATGAAAATGTTTTAATTGGATTGAAAAGCACGTAATTAAATTGACACAACCTCCCCGAGATCTTATTCAACAATGTTGGCTCGTTGTTGCAATAACCCAATAAGTCCATGGTCATCCAAGAGCCTAAGATAACTATAAAGTCCAATTTCAAAGGATTGCAAAACCCGTAGTAGTAGTAGTTACTTCCAATATTTGAAAAATTCGTTTTTGATATTGATTTGTTTTTCTCAAAACAAATAGTGGGAGTATCATACGCTACTAAACTATAATGATTTCAATTAGTAGTTATATATATCTCCAATATTTTGAAAAATGTTTT